CCTTCCTGATGTTCTCCATAAGTATCTTTGTTCCAATGGCAGAAGGGAAATAAGAGGGAAAATACAGGTAGCATAGAATTAATAGAGCAAGGGCCTCCTTTCCTTTCTTATAGATTTTAGTGAGTGTTTGAAAATAAATTAAGATCTGCCTCTAAGTTTTGTAATTTTTGTCCATTCCCGCCCAAAAGACTTAATGACAGGGAAGAACAAACAAAAGATTAAGACAAAGAATATTATTTCAGTGGCATAAAATTATCAACAGGATACAATTCAGAGCAAAGACTTCCATTGGACAAACACTTGATGTCAGTGGACAAGCAGGGTAGAAATTGATTCTAGTCAGGTTGCTTTCTTTATCTTACATGATGCAGCTGTCTGACACTATTGATGGTTTTAGTAAGGGTTAACATCTTTGTTAACCCATAAGAGTCAGAGGTAAATTCCAGAATAAATCTCTGAATCTCTAGAGATCATTCTAGAGGTGTTGCCAAATCATCTGCACAAATGAAGACTGACATTAAGCCTAAGTCATATGAGTTAAAACAGCAACCACAACTGAACTGCAGAAAAATCCAAAGCTGTGGTGCAATAATCAATAGATTGAGCTCCAGATTTTTGTTCATATCTCACATTTCCTGGGAAACTCTGAATGCAGGAAGACAGACCAGGGGCTAAGGTATCTGCTCTATTTTCAGGACAAGCATGAATGACTCAGAAAGGGGCAAAGGAATGTTTGTGCTTGCAGAATAGCTTTGGGCCTGTCCAGAATGTTTCTCTAGTGCCTGTCCTCTTTTCTCACCTACCTTGTCACTGGTATAATAATTACACATTTTTCTGACTATTTTCCCTGTTTCTCTGTTGGGAGAATTTACTTACTATGGATTTTCCCTCTCTGAGCAACACAGCTCACACAGGGTGAATTTAGGAGATGTTACAGAGCCTGGCACAGACACAAGGGGCAACATGGAACAGTCCAAAGCTGTTTGGAGGAAGAACAACAGCATGAAAACTGAACTGAGAAGAAAGAATAGTGGCTACAGGCATTAAAACATGAAGACTCTTGTGATGAGATCCTCACATTTCCCAGAAATTACTGCAATTAATTTTGCACAGACTGTAAGGATGAAGGAATGCTTTAACTGAAGCCTGGAGAAGAAGGCAAGAGCCTGGGGAACAGATTTGTTCCAGGATCCTAAGCATTTCTTGGTGACCTTGGTACCATAACATGTTTTCAAGACATAGCAGGACACAGCCATAAATGCCAGTATTAAAAGTCTTAAGCTAATAGAAATTTATGGAAACTAGAATTTCCTGTTGTTTTGATGCTCATGGAACAGAAGAATAATTAATAAATATGAAGCTACTATTTTTCCCAGTGTAATCAATGCAGAATTTCCACCAGATTGGACAAAAAGAATCCTTTTTTTTTTTTTTTTTTTTTTTTTAAACTAGTGAGAAGTCTTGTGTGTGCAGGATATACCCATGTACTATGTCAGCAATGGGTGTAGCTCTCACTTGCACCAGGAAAAGCTCACTGAGTCACAAACCCAGCCCCATGTGACTGTCTGACATTTGTCCATGGACCACAAGTGGCACTTAAATAAATCATTCCTCTGCACAGAGCTGCATTTGTCTCTGTGAGGACACAGGGCTGTGCCAGCCCAAATTTCAGCTGGTACAAGGGATTTTCTAGTGGCGGACACAACTCAAACCTCCTGCACATGAATGAAGTTAATTGATCCTTTCTGTTAGGAGAGTGCTGTACTCCTTGAGCCAAACTCTGCTTGAAGTGACAGCGTGTGGAGCCACGCTGGGTTTACTCTGGTGCTCTGGAGTGCAGACTGCAGGGCTCCTCCTATCCCTCAGGGATTGTTAGTGAGCAGCAGATCTGCTTGGCTCCTTATTGTCTTTGTTAATAACACTTCTAATGATTTGTGTTTGCATCTATTTTTGTATCTCCTAACATACTTGTAAGATACTCAAGGCTGCCTTGGAAAGAGCCCAAGTTCAGGAGTGGGGTGTATTTAAAACAGATGAGCCCCTGGTTGCTGTAGATATGTTATTGGTATTCATTCAGTTTGCAGGAGGTTTGTTTCCCTTTCCAAAGTCAGAGGCAGCCTGTGGTGTGCCCAGTCCTCAAAGCACTGTAACAGAGAGGCACCATCCCTTCGTTTTGCAGAGTCTCCAATTCTCCACTGAACAACTTGCTCTCCACAAGAATATCACAAATACTACGGCAAGCAGGGAAAGAAGAAAAGGTCATTCCACAGCTGCAGGGTAAACTAAAACAACTACCTGATCTTATGTTCCCTTTGGCCTCACAACACTTCCCTCATCATTTAGTGTACAACTCAAAATGTCCATACCTGCAAAATGTTTGAGATGCAGCTTATTTAGACTCTGTGGAAAACAAAGGGGAAAAACTCCCATCATAAAATCTCCTGTGACAACTCCTTGAAAGTCAGCTAGTGACCATAACAATTCCCTTCTCCCACTCTCTGCTAGGATATTTTTCTCCTCTGACTGGGTGTTTGGTCACCATGAGCCCCACACCGGAGTCCCTCAGGCCTGGTGGACTTGGAATTCTCAGGATACTGTGTGTCAACATCATGTCACATCAAGAGCCCTGTGTGTCAACATACTGGTGCTATACTGGTGTGCCAGGGGAGTTCCATGGTCTGAAACACCACTTTGAATTCAGGTTGGGTTTGTATGTAGGTTTTTTTAAAATAATTTTTTGTCTTAACTGCAGAAAAATAATGTCTTATCTATCTATCTACATAGCAATGAACATTTTAAAAGATCAGATCTGAGGAAATCTGAGTATTCTTAGTACACACAAATATCACCGCTTTTTATGAACCATAACCTTATTTTAATTAAAAAAAAAAAAATAAATTCAGCCCTGGGCTGCATTTCCTTGCTGAGGTGCCAGCACACCTTTCCATGGATGCCTGCCTTTCCAGGCTGGAGCTCTCCCTGTCTCCTGCAGCTCGCGGGTGCTCAGCACTCGGGGAGCAAGAGCAGCCTCAGCAGAGTAATGCTGCCACCAATCCCCTTGTTTAGAAAAGCCTGGGAATGTCACAACTTGTTACACCATGGCATCTTTAAAACCCTCGGGAGGCAGTCATAACTTCTGCCTGAGGCGCCCGAGAGCTTCCACGAGCACAAAATTAACGATGCAGCTCAGTCGGGGAGTGGTGGCATTTTAATCGTGGGTAGAGGAAGCCTTGCACACTGCCAGCTAATCTTGGAGGAGTAAATGAACTAACTCACATTTGTCACAGGCTTTGAGATATTCCAAGGAAATGTTCCATAAAAGACAACTTGTTATTAAGTATTTCTGACAAAATATTGTTTTAATTAATCTCTGTCTTTGATTTTCTATTTGGGCTACTCTCACAAAGGCCTTTTCCCTTTGCCTTTTTACTGTAGGTAACGTGGGCTCACCCACACACAAGTCCCAGAACCTGTGGAGAATTATATCACTGCAAGTTATTGATTGTGTTCCAACTTGGATTCTGCTTTGTACAGACTCTAATTAATCCATATTCATACCATAAGGATTTCTCATCTGGCTGTGGTCTGATCAACCAGCAGAGAAACAGAGAGTCCATTTCACTTACATCGGATCTTTCCAAGAGAAAGTGCAGCTCTCCAATAGCTTTGTGTCTAGGCAATACAGAGTCTAGGCTGTCATGAACTATTTAGGTGGAAATAAATGTCACCATTTAAAAAAAACAACCAAACAAACAAAATAAAAACCCAAACCAAAAAACCCAAACCAAACAAAAAAACTCCAACAAAACCCCAAAAACCCTCCCCACAAAGCCAGATAATATATTTCAGAAACATGTTTACATTTTGTGCTTAATCAAAAGAAAAAGTCAGAAGATTTTTTGGATGAAATGCATTCAGAAGACAAGCCAAAAGATAAGCAAAGAAAATAAAGAGATAAGAAGATAAGCCAAGAAAACCTGTTAAAAATGAGAGAATTTACATGTGTTGTCTATTTTTTGGGGGTTCAAACCCAAGTAAGAAAAAAAAAAAAATAAGGAAACCAAGAAAAAGAATTTGCAATTCCCCCAATTAAGTTAACCAAAAATTGTTGTTGTGCTGATTTGTACTTTAAGAAATAAAACTGTTGAATAACGCATTTGTCAGGTGGTATTCAAGTGGCATAAATAAAGTAGTTCAAGGTTTTTCTTAGAAACTAAATTCCTGCAAGGAATGTTTTGGGCAAAACCACAGCTTCAAAACACACAGTAAGACACAGACTATCCCCTATCTCTTGGAAAGATCCTGTACACATGTCACACTTATATTTTGTATCAGGATTAATGCCTTTAATATTTTCCCCGTTTGCTGAATCCCATCTACAGGGACAATTATTGTGAGTTTTGTTTGGTTGGTTTTTGGTTTTTTTTCTACCTAGACACGCTCAAGTTTTGTTGCCATTTCACCCACTGAATTCTGTGCTGAACAGTAATTACCAGCCCTACAAAGCCATGTTTCGTCTCTTGGCACCGAGGAATGAAAACGTATTTCCACACCAAGCCGCGATTAGCTCTCCAGGGACAGAGTTTTTTTTTGCCTTCCAATTCTTGCGGCTCTCTCCCTCTTCCTCCTTACCGCAGCGATTTTCAAACAATAAACGCGTGTGGGTTTAATTTACACCTTTCCTTACACCTTCTGTTTTTAAGGGCGCACGGGGCACGCTCTTCCACCTCTTCTGCGCTCCCTCCTATGGAGTTCTGTCCCCCATTCCTGCGGGGAACGGGACAGCGCCTCGCCCAGGCGGGCCCAGGCGGGGGGCGCGGGGCTCGGGGCTCCGGCTGCCGAGGGATACGGCGGGATGCGGGCGGGATGCGGGCTGGGTACGGCGGGATGCGGGCGGGATGCGGCGCCGCGAGGGGCGGGCGGAGGGCGGGGAGGGGTCGGCGCGGGGGGCGCGCAGGCGGGGGGCGCGCAGGCGGGGCCGCGCCCGGCGGCGGGAGCGCGCTCGGCGGCGGGAGCTGCGGTCCCGCCGGGGCACGGCCATGGAGCCCTCGCCCAAAGACGGCGAGAGCGCGGCGGCCGCCGAGCCCGGCCGGGGCGGCACGGCCCCGTCCAGCGGGGTGGTGGTGCAGGTCCGGGAGAAGAAGGGCCCCCTGCGCGCCGCCATCCCCTACATGCCCTTCCCCGTGGCCGTCATCTGCCTCTTCCTCAACACCTTCGTGCCGGGGCTGGGTAAGGATGCTGCGGGAGGGAGCGAGGGAAGGCGGCCGGGGCTCGGGGTCCCTCTCCCACCTGCGGCTGCTTCGCCCCGGCGGGGCCGCCCGGGCTGTCGGACCCCGCCGCGGCGGCAACTTTCCCCGACGGCACCGCGGGGAGGGATGGAGGAACGGAGGGAGGGATGGAGTGCGGCAGGAGCCCCTGCGCCAAGTTTCGGTCGGGGGCCGGGGCAGCGCCCTGCGGGGTGCCCGGGGATCCCACCGAGCGGAGCGGGCGAGGTCGCGTTTCCCTCGGCGGGCAGCGGGGCTGGGGCAGCCGCCTGACCCCGCTCCGCCGCTCCGCGGGGCACGGACGGTCCCGGCCCCGGGACGGACCCGGCACATCCCCCGCGACCCCTCCGTCTTCGCCGGGCGGGTAGAAGGGATTCAGCTGTTCGGGCTCTCGCGGACTGTGACTGCAGGCAGAGGACCAAAGCTCACGGTAGACACATCACTCGCTAGCTAGAGAAGAGCTTTCAGAGCCCACCGTGCCGCGTTTTCTAAGGAGACCCCTGGAAAATGTTAGAACCGTTGTCCAGAAAAAGTGGAGATTCACAGCGTAAAGTCTCTAGTGTGCTCAGGTCCCTAAGATGTGGCTGCATCCTTTCTCTATTTCCTTTTCCTCCACTTGAATTAGGAATTGCTTACTGCAAGAGGAGCTTAGAGTTTGAACACTACAAAAACCCCTGGAATACAAGGCTAAATACAGACATTGGAGATGAAAGCAAAACAACCACATTAATAAAAAACCAAAAACAAACCAAACCCAAACAAAATAATCAATGACTCATTAAACCATACCTCAAGTCTCTAATAGTCCATTTCTTGTTGCTGTTTCTGCTACAGTAGCCACCACAGGAACCTTACTTGTGATATGGGAGTATCCTCTACCTAGCTCTGCTTTAAAGTGCTACTGACTGCCTTTAATTGCTTCATGTGCTTCAGGTGGCTTAATTCTTTAACAAATCTGAAATTCTTAAGTTCTGGTTAAAGTACTACCCATGTGTGGGTGGGATAGTGTGTGAAACACATAGAAGCCATTGCTACTCCAGCGTGCTTGCTCTGTGGATGTATTCCAGAGGAAAACTTGCACCTTTTGCAATACCTCTGAGTTTTCCTGTGGCAGGACTGGTGTGTGTGTGTGCCTCCAGATGCAATCCACTGTGCACTGTGTTGTTTACATAGCCCTTGTGTGCAGCCACCTGAAGAACCTTGACTGATGAATCAAAGACAAATTCTGGAGTTGAGTTCTCTCATAGGGCTTTAGGTTTCCTGGGGCTTTTTTTTCCCACTCCGGAGAGAGAAGTTCAAAACCAGAGTTTTCAAAGCAAGTGTTGCTTTCTGTTGGCATTGAAGACACCACATCTTCGCTGTAGACATACAGGAAAAAAGCCTGACTTACCACTCCTCTGTCCTTATCCAAATGGTCTGACACTTCCAAAGCACACTAGAAAACCCTCAGTGCTCTCCCTTCATCTCAGAAGGTCAGGTCCTCATGAGCCATCCTTATGCTGAAATTGGCTTGAAGTGTGGTTCTCTGCCTGGAGTTCTTCTCTGGGTGCTGCTGGGGGTCTGCTGGGTTATGCCTTGCCTCATAAGAAGGTGCCTAAACAAGAACAGCAGACAGCCCTCCCTTCCTGAAGGTGAGTGTTCAGGGCTCCCAGTCAGTGCTGCTTGAAAGCCTGGGAGTTTAATCTGGACTATGTAACTGTGTTGGCTGTGTAACCACTGACAGGCTGGACCAGCACAAAATGGTTTTTAATTTTATTTTTAATTCCATTTGGGTTTTTTTTTAACAGGTGGAGGGTTTTTTGTTGTTGTTTTTTGGTGTTTTTTTTTTTTTTTTTTTTTTTTTTTTTTTTTTTCTTTTTTTTTTAATTTTTTTGCCCTTTGATGCGGTGATTTCAGCCGTATGGTCTGGCTGGCTGTGCCACTCTTTCTCCTGGTGCCCTGTTGCAAAAGTAGCAAACCAAACAAACTACAGATGAAAAGGAATCCTTCCCTGTAACATCTCCACAGCCTGGCAAAATGCAGTGTTTTGGAGATGCATCCCAAGCTCAGTATGCAAAGCATGGCATTTAGTTTGTACATAAATGAACCGTTCTGTTAATGAAGCTGCTAATATCACATGCATTTTGAGAGAAATCTTAGTCTGAGATATCACACCTGACTAGAACACAGCTATTTACAATCTCAGCCATATCCTGTCATGTATCACATAGCCCACACAGGAGGGGAAACAGGAGGATCATGAATCTACTGGCAGGCATGTTCAAGGTAAAAAGAGATTTTCTGTCATTGTTGCACTTCAGCCATCTCAATGAGCTGAGCAACGCTTGTAAAATAGGTAAGATTTGCAGTGGTGTGAAGTATTCACATCAAGGATGTGAGCCTGTTCCCTGTGAAGTAAATGGCAAAATTCCCATAAGTTCTTGTAGTACAGATTTGTAACATGTTAAAATGATGTTTCACAGGCTCGCCATGTATTTCTGCCTGCTTAGCTGGAGTGTGTGACTGTGTTTAGGTGTTAATGGAAGTCCTCTGTTTCTCAGTCCCTAAATTCACCCATCATCTGTTTTGCACATAGTTGTCATTTGTGTGTAGACTCTGCAGTGCAATTGCAAAGAAGGGTCAGAGACCACCAGAGTAAACAAGAAAATGGGCAACATTGAATAAATCAAGTTTTCCAATGCTTGGAGATTGGTGCATTTGAGGTTTTCATTAGTGCCCCATGCCTCAGAACAGTGATATCCAAATAGTAATTGCACTCTGATGCAGACTTCCAAATCCTTGGGCATTCTCTCACCATATGAAAGTCTCTTTTTTTTCAGTTAAATTATCTTTCCTCTCTTACAGAAGTCACCTTTAAGGGTGACATCTGAAAATTTTAAATATCTGGTTTATTTTTCCTTTGGGCTATTTATGTTTTGAAGTAGTACTCTATTTGGACAGGAGAAGTAACACTTCCTCTTTGTTTACAGTCAGTTTATTATCTTCAGTTGGTTAATTTTCAGAGTTTAACGTAAAAACCCAGAACTGCAGGTTTTAAGGTGCATTGTAAACTGGGTTTTAACTACTCATTCCATACATGCTACACAAGATGTAGTTCACAGGAATTTTTTCATACACAGAGGATGTGTTAACTTTTCCCTTGCCAAAACTTAAAATTCAGACCAAATGCAGCATAAAAAAAATGTTGATTAGCTCATCTACTTGTAACCCATTTTGCCAAATAGCCTTGAAATCACACATTCCTTCCAGCCGCTGTGATGGGCCACTTGGAAATGTTCTGGATCAGTTTTCCATGGCCCAGTGCAGTGTTTCTCACCTGTGTCTAACAGGGCTATGGGGCTGAACTGCACTGAAGGTGTCCCAAGCTGAGGTTCACAACAAGAGTGGGTAGGCAGAAGAGGGGGGAGCCCACGGGCGCTGTGGCAAAAGCCACCGTGCCTTGGCTACCAGCGCTGCAGCTCTGCCACGGGCATTGCAACCTCTGGTCTGGCTTTGTGTTTCTGGAGAGGCTCTGAGGCATCAGGGCCAGATGATGCAGTGACAAGCTCTGGAGAATGGGAGGTGCAGCTGCCAGCAGAGCTGGAGGGCACCCAGTGCTGCCATTCCCGCAGGATTGGGCGCTGAGCGGATGGCAAACGGGAGCAGGCTGGCCGTGCCCTTCGGCTGGCAGACTGTGTTCCCGTGTGCCAGTCAGCGTGGGAGGAGATCTGGCTCCTTGTCATTCCCGGAGCTGAGACATGGCAATCTTGCCCTCCTTCCTCTCTGCTCTTCCTTCTCTCGACATCACGTGTGTGGGAGGGGGTAAACCAAGGAGGGGAACTTGAGGGAAATGTGAGAAGTGAGTGAAATTATCTGAAAGTCGGAGGTATTCTCCAGGATTAATCCCTCCTGTCAGGAAGGGGGTGGACTTTTGGATCACAGCCTGCGTTGTATGTGTACACTATTTTTATGCAGAGAGTAATTGAAATACGTGGCATAAAATTATGTTAGCGCGGGATAGGAGAGCAGCCACCCATGTGCCATGAAATAGTCCATGCAGGAACTCAGGAGTGCCAGCCTCTCACAGCAGCTACAGAAGGAAGGGCTGATCCCCAGCCCACTCAACTTTTTGCTTCCAGGGTTCCACAGTGCAGATCTCCCGTTCCCAGGTGTGGCAGCTCCGTATCACGAGTCTTCTGCCATCTGTTTATTCACTCTTGAGAGAGTTCATGCACTGCACCTTCATCTGTGGGAATGTGGCTTTGCCATTGGATTCATAGAAGCCAAACACCTTCTCGTTAGAAACCAAGTCTCTCCTGAGCAGAATGAACTCTCCAAAGAGCTGAATAGAAAGCTGATGGGAAAAGATCTGCATAAAATTACCAGTACCCAATTTATTTTTGTGGTTGGAATGGTAAATATATGCCTCAAGCAAACATCCATTGCCTTCATTATTGAAGGAAAGAATTTCAAGGAAAAAACACATTTTCTTGTCTATGGTAGAGCAAACAGTGCAATAATGAAATTTGGGCTTTCAAACATACGTACATAAAAATCTCAGATTCCCTTTGGTATTTAAGATCCTTTAATTTTTTTTCTTTCAAACATACAAACCAATGAATCTGTGTAATTTACAAGCTCATTTTTGGAAAACAAAGTATTTATCGAGTGTCTATATGAATTTGTGTTTGTGAACTTTACCGCTGCAGTTTTTTAGCTAACATGGGAGCATAATTAAACAAAGCAAACCTATTGCCAGTAGATTTCACTCTGTCAGGTTTTGTATTTTCCACTGAAAAGGTCAAGAAGTCCTTTATGGTGATTTGTGCAAGGTGGGAAATGAGACCTGTAATAAAATGTGTGCATTCAGGTTTTACTACTCCATTACTGGTACAGTGGTATCAACTGTAGATTATCCTCACAGTGAGGTAAAGTTGGACTCAAGAATAACCGAATCTGAGTTTGCTGCACTGTAGGTCTTTGTTC